CCTCTCGGAACGTTGCCATGATGTGCCACCGCGCTCCTTTCAGCCAGAAGCGACAGGGCGTGCGTCCTTCACGGAAGGGGTTCCCGCCTGGGGGGCAGGCACATTGGGCGTTCGTCATTCATCAGGAAGGGGAAAAAGCACACACAGACACCATGAATCGCCGATTCCCCCGAAAATATGGGAAAATATGGGAGGTGGGGGGGAAGACAACAACCCAGAAAATATAGGAAATTATCCTGGCGAAGGACCCAACCATATGCAATTGTGAATAACGCTTTCTGGGTGCCGCTTTCGGTGAAGCTCCTTATGGGGCCACGAAAGGCGTGCCACGCAACGCTGTCCTGGGCGTACGGGACGCATGAGGGAGGTAGCACTGGGGCCTTCGGTGGAGCTCCCTATGGGGCCACGAAACGTGTGAGGGGTGTGCCGAAATGGGCGCGGCGCCGCCATGCCAACGCAGCCACTGGGGCCTTCGGTGGACCTGGGGCCACGAACGTGTGAGGGGTGTGCCGAAATGGGTGCGGCGCCGCCATGCCAACGCAGCCACTGGGGCCTTCGGTGGAGCTCCCTATGGGGCCACGAAACGTGTGAGGGGTGTGCCGAAATGGGCGGCGCCGCCATGCCAACGCAGCCACTGGGGCCTTCGGTGGAGCTCCCTATGGGGCCACGAAACGTGTGAGGGGTGTGCCGAAATGGGTGCGGCGCCGCCATGCAACGCAGCCACTGGGGCCTTCGGTGGAGCTCCCTATGTGGCCACGAAACGTGTGAGGGGTGTGCCGAAATGGGTGCGGCGCCGCCATGCCAACGCAGCCACTGGGGCCTTCGGTGGAGCTCCCTATGGGGCCACGAAACGTGTGAGGGGTGTGCCGAAATGGGTGCGGTGCCGCCATGCCACGCACTGGGGCCTTCGGTGGAGCTCCCTATGGGGCCACGAAACGTGTGAGGGGTGTGCCGAAATGGGTTGCAACGCAGCCACTGGGGCCTTCGGTGGAGCTCCCTATGGGGCCACGAAACGTGTGAGGGGTGTGCTGAAATGGGTGCGGCGCCGCCATGGGCCACTGGGGCGGTGGAGCTCCCTATGGGGCCACGACGCGGTGAGGGGTGTGCGAAATGGGTGCATGCCAACGCAGCCACTGGGGCCTTCGGTGGAGCTCCCTATGGGGCCACGAAACGTGTGAGGGGTGTGCTGAAATGGGTGCGGCGCCGCCATGCCAACGCAGCCACTGGGGCCTTCGGTGGAGCTCCCTATGGGGCCACGAAACGTGTGAGGGGTGTGCCGAAATGGGTGCGGCGCCGCCATGCCAACGCAGCCACTGGGGCCTTCGGTGGAGCTCCCTATGGGGCCACGAAACGTGTGAGGGGTGTGCCGAAATGGGTGCGGCGCCGCCATGCGAACGCAGCCACTGGGGCCTTCGGTGGAGCTCCCTATGGGGCCACGAACGTGTGAGGGGGTGTCCGAAATGGGCGCGGCGCCGCCATGCCAACGCAGCCACTGGGGCCCGTCGGTGGAGCTCCCTATGCGGCCACGAACGTGTGAGGGGTGTGCCGAAATGGGTGCGGCGCCGCCATGCCAACGCAGCCACTGGGGCCTTCGGTGGAGCTCCCTATGGGGCCACGAAACGTGTGAGGGGTGTGCCAAATTGGGTGCGGCGCCGCCATGCCAACGCAGCCACTGGGGCCTTCGGTGGAGCTCCCTATGGGGCCACGAAACGTGTGAGGGGTGTGCCGAAATGGGTGCGGCGCCGCCATGCCAACGCAGCCACTGGGGCCTTCGGTGGAGCTCCCCATGGGGCCACGAAACGGTGAGGGGTGTGCCGAAATGGGTGCGGCGCCGCCATGCCAACGCAGTCATTGGGGCCTTCGGTGGAGCTCCCTATGGGGCCACGAAACGTGTGAGGGGTGTGCCGAAATATGTGCGGCGCCGCCATGCCAACGCAGCCACTGGGGCCTTCGGTGGAGCTCCCTATGGGGCTACGAATCGTGTGAGGGGTGTGCTGTGATAGTGGGAGGGGGGAGGAGGGAGGGGGAGGAGGCGGAGGTGTAGGAAGGAAGGAAGGAGAGGAGACGCGGGGCACCGTCTCTTCAAAACGAGGACCCAACACCACAGGATGGTTGGGAAATATTGGGGACCTTTTTTCTTGTGTGTATTTATTTGTGTGTCCTGGGGCCTCTTCAATTCAAGGGTGGCGCGCATCCCGCAGTGGAAGGGGTAAATTGCAGCGACCTGCGGGGAAGCGATTCGGGACGGGAGGGTGCGCTGCGGCACCACTGATGCATCCTGGCCTCTGGGTCCCTCCACCCTGCCCTTGGCATCGCTCGGACATGTGCATTTCTCCTTCGGCGAGGACCATCGAGGAGCATCCTTGATCACTTGGCGAAAAACCCACGCACGAAACCGACAAAAAAACACGGGCAATGGACGTCCGAGCGATGGCCAGTGCCCCGAGGAGGAGGACTCACGTGGTCGGGCCTCGGTCCGCCGCGCGGGGGGCGCCTCCTC